CACGCACCCGCCGTCGCCACCACCCCTCGCTGCTGCTGCCGCCACTCGGTAGTTCTCAGCCTTACCTGAGAAACCATCGAGCGATCCTGGCGCTGGGCATAGAGATTATTGAAGGAAAGATGGCCGCCACTCATCTCTATGCCCTTGGAGGATCGAAGTGATGTCACTTCCATTTCCGGACATTTTTTTTTCTTAACCACTTGAGCTCCTGAGGATTTACCCCCCTTAATGACCAGGCCTTTTTTTGCTGTTTGGCGCTGCACTAATTCAAATGATAATTGCGCGGTCATGCAATGCTGTACCCAAACGAAATTTACGTCCTTTTTTTCACACAAATAGAGCTTTCTTTTGGTGGTATTTTATCACCTGTGCGCTTTTTTTTTTTGCGCTATAAACAAAAAAAACACGAAAATTTTGAAAAAAAAAATATATTTTCTACTTTCAGCTATAAAAAATATATTGTAAACTCAAAGTTAGTCATAAATTTAAGCCATGAAGTGATGAAGTTTTTTTTTTTTACACTGATTGCTTTTACACCCATAAAGGCTGTAAAAGCAATAATTTCTCCTTCTCTCTGGCTGCATTCTTGCAGCCATTGAGAAATACTGAGAGCTGTGATTGGTCACGGCTTGTCACATGGTACAAGGCTGTTGTGAATAGTCTTGTACCCTGTGATCATTCAGATGTCAGAAGTGACATCTTGCTTACTACTATTTATGTGATCACTGATTGGCCAAGCAGTGATCACATGATCGGACCTCACACAGGTGAGGTCCCATACAGCGATCAGTCCTCCAGACACAGCGGGCAGTGGATCGCGGTGCTGTGCTCTCCCAGGGAGCGTGCACAAGCAGGGAGCGGACAGGACGTTTATAAATGGCCACCTGCCCCTGCATTGCTCCCGTCCGGCCGTTTATATATAGTATATGGGCCAGACAGGAAGTGGTTAACCTATCCATTGATATATGTGCTCCCACTATAGAGGCTTTGGAAGTTTTAGAGTTGGGTCCACAGTATACAGAGGACCCTTGGTGTGGGACTGTGCGTTACGCATGTATTTCCAAACAAAACTCTCTGTTTTTAATGTGAACTGTTAGTTCGGGCCAAATTTGTTGTTTTGCAGGCTGGCTGGTAAGTATTGCTGGTAAATTGTTTGTTTGTGATGTGCATTGCCCTTCCATGTGCACCTTACTGCTAAGGCTGGTTATAGGTTGGGACTGTTGCCATTGTTTTGTGCCATTGATCTCTTGATACCAAGCCAAGTACAGGTAGACCAAGAAAGACTTCATCCACAACTGCCAGAAGAATTGTTCAGGATACAAAGAAAAACCCACAGGTAACCTCAGAAGAAATACAGGCTGCTCAGGAAAGATACAGTGTGGTTGTTTCAAGGAGCACAATACAACCATAAAATGAGCGGCATGGTGGAATTGCCAGAAAGAAGACTTTACTGTGCCAATGCCACAAAACAGCCAGGTTACAATATGCCTGACAACACCTTGACGCTTTACAGCTTCTTGCACACTGTAATCTGGAGTGGCAAGGCCAAAATAGAACTTTATGGTCACAACCATAACCACTATGCCTATAGCAACAAGAATACCATCCCCACTGTGAAACATGGTGGTGGCTGTAGCAATCGTACGTACAGATATGGACGCGAACATCCATTTTGCTCAAGATCCACCATCTTCTGTCATTCTCACTCCAAATCAGTCCCCCTCCCTTTTTGTTGAATGGCATGTGGTCTGTGTGTGTGCTGAGTTCAGGAGTGCACAGGGCACAACTGGATACACTTCATGGTTGTAAACCCAATTGGCTGGTTCCAGGGTGTCTGACAGACTTTTGCGCTGGACGGATCATAAAGCTATAAACCCGTCAGTCACTGCACTTGAAAAGCATTCCTAAATAGCAGTAAAACATACATCCCATTTGAAACCACTTTTTCATACAATTTCATAAATCCCGGCAGGAAATAGGTACAATAGAACAAAGCATATATTCAGATAGGTCAGTTTAATGCGAGTCACCTGATACCTTACATCCCTAGATTACCCGATAGCAGGAAGCGATATCTTTTTAACCGTCACAGGCAGATATGTCATATCTGGTGTCTGGACGTTCAGAATATGATTCTGCACATTATTCTACCAGTGGATGGGATGCTACATGTACCTATGGAAGGTTATTGACCATGGTGTGGACTTGGGAGGGATTTGGGTCACAGCCGGGGTCTCCACCTAAACCCCCTCCCCAAATGAGGCGATTGGCCCTTGGCTTCAGTAGACACCCCCTGCTGGGGGACTAGAAAACAGGCTGTCAGGCCTGAGAGAGGGAAGATGAAGAGATTCTTCCTTTTTAACATCAGGAACCAACTTTCGGAGAAACGGTACCCTTTTGTTCAGGACACTTGAATCTGCTTAAACCAAGGACTCTGGAAAGTATTCTACCTCTCTAAACTTCTTTCTGTTATCTCTCTGTTGTGTTATTGCTCTCTGTATATATATATATATATTTTTTGGCTACATCTTTTTCTGTAAATATTTTTATTGCACCATTTTGACCTTTTTAGTAATAGATCCTATTTTCTGAAAAGTGTTGAACTGTCTCTAAAGCTCTGTAATGCAAACTAAGAATCCCTGTCTCTGAACAGCGCTACTGTGTTAAACTTCTGCATACATCTGCCTGCGGAGACAGTGTGTGTATACAGACGCTTATTCAAACATCATAGTGTTACTGCTAAGATTTGCGAGTTACCTCCTTCTCTGTACAAAAAGGTGGTGATGGCAGTGTGAAGGGTTAATTGCGTAATTAACCTGACCCAGTAACAATCGCTCTCAGGCTGCGGCACATAGATTGTGGTCCAGTGAGCTAGAAAATCTTTGTGCAGGGTGCAGCTGAGCGTGGCATTGTTACGAAAGTGGCAGCACGGTTTTAGATTGGCTAATCCTTCGGTCACAAGTTGGTGAGAAGGCCTGGGGTCTGACGCCCCGCTGGTCACAGTGGCTCATTGATGTTTGGGGTGTGTGAGCACTAAAGGCACGGGGAATCTTGTGACAATTGATGGCAAGGTGAATGCAGCATGTTATCAGAAAATACTGGCAGACAATTTGTATTCTTCTTCAGGAAAGTTGCGCATAGCACGCTCTTGGACTTTCCAGCATGACAATGGCGCTAAGCACAAGGACAAGTTTATCCTCCAGTGGTTACAGCAGAAAAAGGTGAAGGTTCTTGAGTGGCCATTACAGTCTCCTGATCTTAATATTATCAAGACACTCTGGGAAGACCTCAAAGATGTGGTTCATGCAAGATGACCAAAGACTGCATGACCTGGAGGAATTTTACCAAGACAAATGAGCAGCTCTACTACACTGGGCCGTGGATAAGGGGGCACCACCAGTCCTCCTGTATGGAGCCCAGGCCAGCAGGGGGGCCCAGGAAGCTGGGAGAATCAAATGTGGGCAGGCAGGGTGAGCAGGGCAATTACTGGAGCCAATCCCCTGTATGGCTCTCTGCAGCAGCTGAAAGCTGGCTTCTTCTCCTCTCCCCCTCCCCCAGCTAGCTTTCAGCTGCTGCAGAGAGAAACATACAGGGGATTGGTTCCAGTAATTTACCAGCCCTTCCATTCCTGAATGAACACAATGAGTGATCAGTACCAATCACTTGCTGTGTTCATTCATAACTAAAGCATAATAAACTGTGTATTTTGTTTTGCGGGGATGGGGGGCCCTGTTAGGTTGGCTGTATGGGGCCCTGTGGTTTCGGGGGGCCCTGTTAGGTTGGCTGTAAGGGGCTCTGCCAGATTGGCTATGTCAGGTACCGATGGGCAGTGACTCTAGAGATCCACAGGCCGGGGTTCCCCAGGGCGCGGAGTCTAAACCCCAGTCTGCTTATTCACAGAGCCCCTGATGGTGGGGATGGACTTGGAGCAAGCTGACACCAGGTTGCGGCCCCTGAGTACACCCAGCTGTAGTAGAGGTAAATGCCAGTGGTATGAAGCGGATCAGAGCCTGCTGTGAAGAGGTGGAGCAGATCTGGCAGCAGCGGATGGATCCGTGCAGGATGGATGGACGGATGACACCGTGGAGAGATAGCGAAGTCAGGCAGGCCGGGTCGGTAACAGTGGAGGTAACCGGTACAGAGCAGTAAGCAGAGAGTAATCGGGTCACAGGCCAGGTTCAGCAGCAGGAGGTCAGATCATCAGGAACATGCAGAAGAGAAGTCAAGACGAGCCAGGGGTCAGGGCAGGAGACGGTCAACAGCAATCAGGGTCAGGCTAGGTCAGCAACAAGGCAATCTCAGGAAAAGAACAAGCAGGAACAAGACCATATGGCAATTTGAGCATTGCAAGAGCTGGTTTAAATAGCCCCCCCGGCGCCGACAGGCGCTCCTGGGTCCTAGTGCCTGCCCGGCGCCTTCATTGGTGACAGGCGCGCCTGGGTCCTAGTGCCCGCCTGCCTGTACGTCTTGTCGGGATCTTACGCATGTGCAGATTCGTGTGCTGCAGTGATCTTCTCGTTCCCTGACAGGCTGCAAGGGGCCCTGTGGTTTGGGGGGCCCTGTCAGGGTGGCTGTAAGGGTCCCCATGGTTCCTAACAGCAGCTCTGCTACCACCTGCAAGAATTCAGGGCCACATAGACAACTATTACAAAAGACTACACACTGTCATTGATGCTAATGGGGGCAAAACACAGTATTAAGAACTAAGGGGATGCAGGCTTCTGAACAGGGGGCATTTCATTTCTTTACCTGTTGCCATGTATTATTTTATGATTGTGCCATTCTGCTCTGACCTACAGTTTAATATGAATCCCATAACAAATAAAAGAAATGTGTTTTACTTGATCACTCATGTTTTCTTTAAAAATGGTACATCGTATTACCAATTCTCCAATACATACACTATATTGCCAAAAGTATTGGGACACCCCTTCAAATCATTGGATTCAGGTGTTCCAATCACCTCCATGGCCACAGATGTATAAAATCAAGCCCTAGGCATGCAGACTGCTTCTACAAACATTTGTGAAAGAATGGGACACTCTCAGGAGCTCAGTAAATTCAAGCGTAGTAACGTGATAGGTTGTCACCTGTGCAATATGTCCATCCGTGGCATTTCCTTGCTACTAAATATTCCACAGTCAACTGTTAGTGGTATTATAACAAAGTGGAAGCGACTGGGAACAACAGTAACTCAGCTACAAAGTGGTAGGCCACGTAAAATGACAGAGCGGGGTGAGCGCATGTTGAAGCGCACAGTGCGCAGAAGTCGCCAAAGGTCAGATTAGCACAACAACAGTGCGTAGAAAGCTTCATGGAATGGGTTTCCATGGCCGAGCAGCTGCATCCAAGCCTTACATCACCAAGTGTGATGCAAAGTGTTGGATGCAGTGGTGTAAAGCACGCTGCCACTGGACTCTAGAGCAGTGGAGACGTGTTCTCTGGAGTGACCAGTCACGCTTCTCTGTTTGCAATCCGATGCATGTGTCTGGGTTTGGCGATTGCCAGGAGAACGGTACTTGCCTGACTGCACTGTGCCAAGTGTAAAGTTTGGTGGAGGGGGGATGATGGCGTGGGGTTGTTCTTTCGGGGGGGGACTTGGCCCCTTAGTTCCAGTGAAGGGAACTCTTAAGGCATCAGCATACCAAGACATTTTGGACAATTTCATGCTCCCAACTTTGTGGGAACAGTTTGGGGATGGCCCCTTCCTGATCCAACATGACTGCGCACCAGTGCACAAAGTAAGGTCCATAAAGACATGGATGAGCGAGTTTGGGGTGGAGGAACTTGACTGGCCTGCACAGAGTCCTGACCTCAACCCCATAGAACTCCTTTGGGATGAATTAGAGCGAAGACTGGGAGCCGGGTCTTCTCATCTGACATCAGTGCCTGACCTCACAAATACGCTTCTGGAAGAATGTCAAACATTCCCATAGACACACTCCTAAACCTTGTGGACAGCCTTTTCTGTGATTTTACTCTGTCTCATTCCTGTGTTTTGGATTAATAAATACCCTGAAGCAATATCACACTATTCTGGCATCCTTTCTTGGGGCTCTTGTTGAGCCTTACCACCCATAGAGCCTATCATAAGAAGAGGTGTGAGGTGCTGTATTTCTACTGATGACCCAGAGGGAAGTCCTTACCAGTGATAGATGTCCACAGCATGATCCAGCTGGCCCATTGAGATATTTATGTTCTCAAATGCGCAACATTATTGCGCATCTGGTGAGTGCGCAATTTTATTATCTGTCTATCACTAGACGATTTCTAGAGTATCACCCTCATCTGAAACTTCACATCTATCTGCTAAACAAGGACTTTGTCACTATAATAGCACCTTTGGTCACCTTAATGGATGATTATTCACATGATGTCACTTTACACTATTTGATTTATACTCATTAGTATATCACCAACAGTGGCACTATTTTCACTATATGATTACTGACAGTCATATCATGGACTCTAACAGTGTATTTTATTTTCATTTATTGCATTTGATGATATTCAGTTATTTGCATTATTTAAGGCTGCACCCTATTTTGTCTTTGGTCTCAGAAGTTTGTTTGGTGCCTTTTTGGTGTTACAGCAGCTCACCAATTAGCGCTCACTTTTGTGCATTTTTACCACATACACTTTGTATGGCTCAAATTGCATCGCATCTGCACCAACAAAAAGTACAGGACCCTTTTTTACATTCTTTTTTACATCCGCACCTGAATCGTATCACATGGGTGTTCTCACCCATTCAATGCGATTTATGGCAATTGCATCATGTTTTACGATCTGTTTTTGGATGTCGTTAATTTATCATTGACACCCACACCAGATCGCATGAACGCAATGCATTGGTGAGAACTGGGTCTACATCACCGGTCACACTGCTGCAATTTAAAATTAAAATTAAAATTAAAGACTTTATTGCTGCTTGTGAAGATTTTCAACGATTTCTTGCAATTTGCAGTGTGATTTCTATTATATTCTATGTATGTGAAATCACACCAGGGGCGGACTGACAACTCATGGGGCCCCCGGGCAATAGGGGATCACAGGCCCCTGTGTCCTTGCCCAAACTCAAAAAAACCTATGAAAATGGTACCAGGGGCATCTCATGGGGCCCCCTACTAACCCCGGGCCCTCGGGCAGTGCCTGCGTTTCCAAATGGTGAGTCCGCCCCTAATCACAACAAAACTGCAGAAAAAGCAATGCAAGAACTACTTTAGAAATGGCGCTGCAGCAAATCGCACATGTTGAAAGGAGAGAATTGAACACAAAATGAATAAGTCTCTCTGCTTTTGTTGAGAGAAAAACCTTCCCCTCTGGGTGATCTATGTACATCGCAGCGATTCGAACATTTTTGGAGATTCCAACCTTCTGGTTTTCTGAAGAAATAGCTGTTTGTGTCCATGTGCAGATTGAATCTGTACGGGAGTGACTTCATAATTATCACTCAGCTATTGCACCTGCTGGGCTTTAATGAGGAAAGTGTCGGGGTCTGCATCCCTAGGCTGGCCCTACATTATACAATGTTCTTGAGAATTTTGCTTTAGGGCTCGTTCACACTTGACTTTATAGCTAACTCTTGCCAAACGCCCCTATAGCGTTTGACAGGTGTTAGAAAGGCGTTTGGGAAGCGTTTTTAACGCTCCTCAAACGCTCCCGAAACACTCCCCAAACGCCCCATGCGTGGTTTTGAGGTGGTTGATTAAAACCGCACCATAAACGCCTATAATGAAGATACGTGGTATTAACGGCTCACAACCGTCTCGCAAATGCCTGCTAGGCGTTTGCGGAGCGGCACCATAGACTTGAATGAGAGGCTTCAACTCCTCCTGACTCGACATGAGGCGTCAGTTTTGCAGCGACTTAACTCAACGCTACCGCTTCAGTGTGAACAGCACTGTGTGCTGCCATGTGCAGAATTTTCATAGGCGTTTGAGAAGCGTTAAAACGCTTCCCAAACGCCTGTCTGACACCTGCTGACAAACCTTGGTGAAGTAGCCTTAGATTTACCAAAAACCATATAGTATGAGATCAAACCTAAACAACACTTTCAATTGTATCCAATTAGGCAGGTCCTTGCACTACATAGTTGAAGGTAAATCTGAAGGAAATTGGGCAGAAATTGGACAGAAAATTGTAAGAACATTGTATAGTGTATGGCCAGCCTTAGACGTGATTTCCTATTGGGATTAACTGACCAAAAATTACATTTTTGTTGCAGGGAATGCCAAAAATCTGACTTGTATCTTAGTGCAGACTTCTGGGAAAATCAGTGAGCCAATCACACAAACAAGAAACGATATACCTGGGGGGGGGGTCTATACACCATCTGTGTACAGAACGCCTCCAGTTAGCCATACTGTTACCCTTTAACCGCTTCTTCCTTGGCCCTGTAGTAGAAATACTGCTACAGGGCAGCAGGGCTGCTCACAATCATGTATATATACTTGATTTCGCATTTCCAGGTAGGGGGTGTGCACCCGTCGCCCTTCCTGTCCTGCCATTGGCAGCTACAGCTGTTGATCACCGGGTCCTGGACAGAGATTCCCCGCCGGCAATCGCCAAGGAACATTGACAGGGAAGAGGTCTGTATGTAAACAATAGATATATCTCCCGACAGCTCCAGCACACTGCTTTGTATGTCTCTGCATAGCATGCTCACACAGTGAAAGAGCACACAGTTAACCCTTTGATTTCCCCAGATGTTAACCCCTTCCTGCCCAGTGCCATTAGTACAGTGTCAAAGCTTTTTATTAGCACTCATCACTGTATTGGTTTCACTGATCACCGCCATTACTAGTATATAAAAAATAAAATCCCATTATCTATACTGCCATTTGTAAACGCTATAACTTTCACATAAACCAATTAATTTACATGTATTGGGATTTTTTTTTTTTTTAGCAAAGACATGTCGCAGAATACATTTTGGCCTAAATTTGTGATGAAATTTGATTTTTTTAATTTTTTTTACTGGACATGTTTAATAGCAAAAAGTCAAAAATTGTTTTTTTTCAAAATTGTTGGTCCTTTTTTGTTTATAGCGCAAAATATAAAAACCGCACAGGCGATCAAATACCAAGGAAAGAAAGCTGTATTTGTGGGAAAAAAGGACATACAGTCAGGTCCATAAATATTGGGACATCGACACAATTCTAACATTTTTGGCTCTATACACCATCACAATGGATTTGAAATGAAGTGAACAAGATGTGCTTTAACTGCAGACTGTCAGCTTTAATTTGAGGGTATTTACATCCAAATCAGGTGAACGGTGTAGAAATTACAACAGTTTGCATATGTGCCTCCCACTTGTTAAGGGACCAAAAGTAATGGGACAGAATAATAATCATAAATCAAACTTTCACTTTTTAATACTTGGTTGCAAATCCTTTGCAGTCAATTACAGCCTGAAGTCTGGAACGCATAGACATCACCAGACGCTGGGTTTCATCCCTGGTGATGCTCTGCCAGGCCTCTACTGCAACTGTCTTCAGTTCCTGCTTGTTCTTGGGGCATTTTCCCTTCAGTTCTGACTTCAGCAAGTGAAATGCATGCTCAATCGGATTCAGGTCAGGTGATTGACTTGGCCATTGCAGAACATTCCACTTCTTTCCCTTAAAAAACTCTTTGGTTGCTTTTGCAGTATGCTTTGGGTCATTGTCCATCTGCACTGTGAAGCGGCGTCCAATGAGTTCTGAAGCATTTGGCTGAATATGAGCAGATAATATTGCCCGAAACACTTCAGAATTCATCCTGCTGCTTTTGTCAGCAGTCACATCATCAATAAATACAAGAGAACCAGCTCCATTGGCAGCCATACATGCCCACGCCATGACACTACCACCACCACCATGCTTCACTGATGAGGTGGTATGCTTAGGATCATGAGCAGTTCCTTTCCTTTCCATACTCTTCTCTTCCCATCACTCTGGTACAAGTTGATCTTGGTCTCATCTGTCCATAGGATGTTGTTCCAGAACTGTGAAGGCTTTTTTTACATGTCGTTTGGCAAACTCTAATCTGGCCTTCCTGTTTTTGAGGCTCACCAATGGTTTCCATCTTGTGGTGAACCCTCTGTATTCACTCTGGTGAAGTCTTCTCTTGATTGTTGACTTTGACACACATACACCTACCTCCTGGAGAGTGTTCTTGATCTGGCCAACTGTTGTGAAGGGTGTTTTCTTCACCAGGGAAAGAATTCTTCGGTCATCCACCACAGTTGTTTTCCGTGGTCTTCCGGGTCTTTTGGTGTTGCTGAGCTCACCGGTGCGTTCCTTCTTTTTAAGAATGTTCCTAACAGTTGTTTTGGCCACACGTAATGTTTTTGCTATCTCTCTGATGGGTTTGTTTT